AAAAAAAAAAAAAAAAAAAAAAGTTTTATTTGTAAAGAATGACAGTCATACAGCATTTTGAGAAAAGGCCAAAGCTGATCACCCATGCTGGTTTAGATGTGATATCACTCAATAAATCATACAAAACTGACTTTTAAAGACCAGGGATCAAATGGTTAATGTAAAAAATATGAAAATGCAATAATATCAGATGCAAATGTGTTTTGTTCCCCCGATTACCTTTACAGCCATAAACTGAAAGGACACTGTGTAAACACACTTACTGCACTTGATAAATGACTGTGTGCAAATCCTGAGAGAACATTGGAGACGCAGAAAATAATACCACAAAAATCAATAGGAGCGAGTCCTGGCTAATATCAAACTATGAATTCATACGTTAGGATCCGTGGAGCGCCGAATTGATGTTTGTCATGCATTAATCACACAGATCAGCTCAGAGATCAGGTATAATTGGCATGTCGCACGTCAGTCGTGATGAGAGCATCTTCACTGATAGACCTTTAGAGGAGCTGCTGTTTCTTCTCATTAAACTCGTTCTCATAGCATGTAATCAGGGCCAATTAGAGCTCAATTAAAGTGAAGAATTTCTTCATGAGGTCACTTTGGAGAATGTTCCTGGACTCAGTTTGAGGTTGTATAAATCAAATAAGGATTGGTAACAGTGTTTCACTGGACGCAGAGCACAGGAGCCTCAGATTCAGCGTCTCAAACGGTGAAATAAAGGCCCCTTTATACTGTAAATGTATATGACCCTGTATATGATGAATGTGTTTCGCTCTCATCCACAGGGATTCTGTGACACGTGACAGAACACACATTATACAAAGCATTTCTTACATATCATCCAAAAAAAAAAAAGTAATCAAAAAGTAAGAAAGTAATTTAGAGTAATTAAAGTAATTTCTGCACTGCTAATGTGTTACTGCTAATGGTCGTAGATGACAAACACAGCGCTGGTCCAACCAGTCGTGGGATGTTTTACATTCACTGAGCTTGGCCATCCACACCTCTTGTAAACACACGCGTATGGTTTTCTGTGACATAATCAACATTATCTTGGTGAATAATCAGCAGAATATGCAGCAACAACATTATCTAGCTGACTATCACATGCAGTTTTGTTGAGAATCCAAATAATAACTTGTTTTATTCTAGGAATCATCAACAAGAATATAATGAAACTAACAAACCAACCATTGTTTTGCAGCAAAAGTGTTTTTATGAATTTATGGAGATATATAGCTATATACATTCTGTATTTACAGCTTTTTGTAAATGTTATTTTCATAAAGAGATTTATACACATTTTGAGATATACATATTGAGATTCCACAGGGGTCGATTTTGGGGCCGCTACTGTTCTCTCTGTATATGCTTCCTCTGAGCTCTATTTTTCATAAGTGTTTTCAGAAGCCTAGATAAAACATGTTCTTTGGACAAAGTACATGAATGCTATACTGACATTAAGCTCTTAAGGTCTTCGGATCAACTGCTTATATATATATATATATATACATATACTGTATATATATTCCTTTTGTGGAAGCACCACTAAAAATGTTGGCAGGGCTAGTAAAAAAAAAAAGCATACATACATACATACATAAATATGTCTCTGCTTTCTAATTTTGCCATTATTTATAACTCTAACTCCATCAGTGCCATTCTGTTCATTTCATCCCTGTCCTAACCTAGTTTTATCTGTAACTCCATTGGTGTGTATATCCCCACCTGCAGAACTCAGAAAGTTTCATTTGAAGTCAAGAACTTTATTCATTCCAAACTGCATTCTCTTCCTTTTAGTTCATATCTTTTGCTGTAAAACAAACTCAGACTCAGACGTATATGATGTCATGTTTTCCCAAACTCAATGCAGTCACAAATAAATGCAGGTCTGCTGGTGCCACACACAGAGCTGCAGCTCTTCCCATCCAGTGTGCTTTAGTCTCAGTGTGTGTGTGTGTGTGTGTGTGTGTGTGTGTGTG